ACTTCATACTTTGGATTCCTCAATTTTTAACCCTAAAAGTCAAAAATTCAATTTTTTTGAAAAACTTTCGAAAAAAGGATGAACAGGGGCCGTCGAAGTGTTGCAACGCCCAAGGGACTTTCCCTTACAACGCCGCATCACTGGTTTCCTAGAGCCACAAAGCTGCATGGGCAGTGCCCAAGTAGCGCAACAGTCGCTTATTTTTTTATTAAAACATAAGAAAGAAAAATAAAAATAAATGATAAAGGAATGTCTATTAAATTTCAAATCTTGATTCTTAAGTTTATTTTGGATCACTTACGTTCTAAAATAGATTAGTTAAAGTAACATATTACCAAAAAAACTTCTCTTATCTAAATTAATTTATTTGTAATATTAAAAAGATTGTATGTATATAATTCATACGGATAATCATCGGCCCAAAGAAATATTAATATTTGGCATAATTACATACACACATATGGTAATAAATATGTGGCAATTGTAAAATTTTCCATTATGTGACCATTGAGACAGTCCAAAGATAGACTTAATATTTTGTCAATATTTGATTACTACATCAAGATTACCACTTATAAGTTGATATTTCTATTCAAAAATTAAATATCGGTATCGTGCTCAATCTTTTGTGATGGGCCCACCATTATTTGAAATTATTGATTATTAAACACGAATTCTCATGTGAACATGTTATTTAGGGATACGTCCTCTATTCAATTAATCATTTACTTTACAATATCTGCCAACTAATCAATTATTTCTGTACTTGGAACCAAAGTTTAAGAACTGAGAAGAGCATTTGTATTGTTCTTGGTGGCATGGATTTAGATATTGCGTTAAGGACCAAACAACCCTCTATTCTTACGGATAAGAGTTCTGCTAACTAAATGGAACTCGAATTAGTTGAATCGTTCAAACCGCACGAGTCCTATAATCATGAAGCGCAGAATTATAGCAACATTCAGGGTTGCTGTGTCCGATAAGGTAACTACTATTGGGGAGTTTCTTGAGAAAATTGGAAAAGTTTTGTAAAAGGTAATAAGGCCAAAACTAGCATGTTTTTAGTGAACTTAGTTTCACTAAAGTATAAGAGTAAAGAAATGGAGATGTCTCACCTTGCTTCAAAATTAAAGGCACTAAAGCTTGAACTATCTTATGACTTGTTCGTGCATTTGGTTTTAACTTCCGTTCCTACAAAATTCAGTCAATTTAAGGTTAGTTATAACTGTCAGAAAGGGAAAATAGTAGGGCTGGACATGGTCCAATTCTGTTCAATTCTAACGAGAATCGAATCGACCCAAAATTTTCGAGTATTTCGTAAGTGGAACCGTCGGGTCCAAATTTAATTACAGAACCGTTCAAGTTTAGTTCCATTCGGTTCCATATTATAATTAAATTTTTTAATATATACAAAGTTACGTTAATTTAATTAATTATATGTTCAATATTAGCTCTTAGAAAATAACGTAGTTCAATGTTATGTGTTTCACGTCTCTCTTTGTAGAATTCTTCATAAATTTGATTATTAAAATCACAGAAAGAGAAATATAGCAAGCTCAAAAATAATTAAGAGAGATGTTGTAAAGCTTTAATTTGATTTTTTCCGGCAGAAACAACACTACAGTAGAATAACAGATTTGGTAAAATTGAGGTCAATTTGTTTAAGTTGATTATGAACTGAAAATTAGAAATAGGAAAATCATATTTTGTGGTTTAAACTAAATTAACTAGTTAATAAATTTATTTAGAAAAAATAAAATAATTTTACTTATTTAAAATAAATTAATTAAAAAATTACGGAGATTCGGTTCTTATTCGATTCTTCAGGTCTTGGCCTAGAACCGAACCATACTCGTCGGTTCTTGACTCAAATCCCTATTCAGGTATTTAACTTGAGAAGAACTGTCGGGTTCGGTTCGGTTCGGGAGTTTTTGTCCAGCCTAGAAAATAGACTCTTAGCCCTCGTTTGGCCCCCATTAAATTTTGTTACATTACATTTCATTTCTCTCTCTCATATTTTCATCCAAACAATATTCCATAAAATAATATTACACGTAATTCAAAAAAAATTTCTTCTTTTTCAATTTTTAAAAAAAATACTATTCCACCCATTTTCATTTTACGAAAATGGGGGCTTAATGAGCTCATTCCATATTCCATATTGTGTGCAAGAAGGAAGAAGGGGGCAAGTTCCTCTGAGGACAAGTTAAAGAATAAGAAAGCTACATCCGATTTAGTTAAAAACAACAGCAAAAGCTTGAAAATGATAAATCATCTAACTATTACTTTTGTGAAAATTTGGGAGACATGAAGAGAGATTGTACTAAATATCACCCTTAGCGTGTAAAGTCAAGTACACTTCTCACTTTGGGTTGTTCTAAGATTAGTTTAGTTTCAGTATCAAGACTCATTTAGTGGACAAATTTCGGTATCATTATTTAAATAAGCCTGTCTATGAGGGGTAGCCTGGATAGCCTAAAGTCAATTAATGTTGTAAAATTCATCTATGTAGGGCGTTGGCATTTCAGTTAAAGTTGAGGTTATATGGCATTTTAGATTATCATTAAAGACTAGATATTATTTGAATTCGAAAAAGATATTTGCAGTACCGTCTTTTAAGATACAATTTGGTTTCTATTTATATATTGGACAAATTTGATCACTCTTTGTTCATTTGGAAATAGTCAGTTTTATCTCTTTCTTTATTCAAATGTTGTCGGTACCAATTTTTTATCCGGTTATAATGACCTATAATTGCTTAATGCGTTTATCTCTTATAAAGAAATCTTGGATATTAGTTCACGTTGTATTAAACATAAATTAACTAATGAGAATTCTTCTTCATTATGGCACAAGGGATCACGTTACATCTTTCAAAAGAGAACGGGATAGTTTATGTCAGAAAAAATTCTTGATTCCTAGATTTTATGGACTTTAATGTTTGTGTTAATTACATTAAGGAATAACAGACAAACATAAAGAAATTAGGTACCAACAAACCTCTGGACGTCTTAGAACTAATACATATAGATATCTCTGGGCCATTTCCTTCGGCTTCTTGGAATAGTCGATAGTCATTTGTTATATTCACATGAATGATTTTTCTCGTCATGACCTTTATCTCATTCATGAGAAATTCTAATCACTATATATGTTCAAAGCTTATTAGACTAAGATTAAAAATCAATTCAGCAAAAGAATTTAAAACATCAGATTTGACCGCATTGGTGAATGCTATGGCAGATATAATGGACGGGAGAACAACTTCCAATGCCTTTTGATAAATTTCTAGAGAAATATGGAATCATCCTACAATACACTTAAATCTATATGGGAAGAAGCACGAAAGACTATAGATTAAATTTTCAATAAAGTTTCAAGTAAAGCAACTATCAAAACCTCTTATGAGCTTTGGACAGGCAAGAAATCCAATTTGAAGGACTTGTTGTTCAGTTAAGAAATAGAACATCGAAAAACAAACTTGACTCTAGAATTATCAATTGCTAATTTATTGTATATTTTGCAAGGTCAAGGGTTACAAATTTTATTGTGAATGCGTGTGGTTGAAAATGAGTATAAGAAAAAAAAAGTTTTATGAGAATGGTTACCAAAATGGGTAAATTCAGCATGAGTTCAATGTTCTGGTTCTACAGTGAATTCAACACCATTATTTAAAATAAATTTTGAAATTTAGGTTAAATCGAGTTTTATGCTTGGTATTAAAACTGAAAATTGGATAAAAATAGATCGATTCTTATTTTAATATCCAAAATAAATAAATAAATAAAATTAGAACTTGAGTTGAATTCACTACAGGAAATATCACTTTCAGAAACTATATAAATGGTTGTAGAAAATACATTATTCGTTGTTGATGATATTCAACGACCAAATTCAGTTGGTTGTTCGTTAGTTGGCAAAGGGGTGTTGGCAAATGTATTTAACGACTAAATATACATTTGGTTGTTAAATGTATTATTTTAACAACCAAATAATTGGTCGTAAAAGATTTGTATTGACAACTGATAATCTTTTTAACAACCACATATTTGATTGTTGTAACAACTATTTTTGTCGTTCAAATATAATAAAAACAACCAAATTTTAGTTGCCTTTCATATAAACTACCAAAAAAACATTTGTTAAAAATTAATATTGACAAATCGATGAATTTTATTTCAACAACTGCTTGATTTGTCATTGTATTAAGGGGGTGTTTGATACACCAAAATTTTCCATGGAGAATTCCATTTTCCAACTTTATGGTGTTTGATAGGATTTTATTTTCATGAAATTGCCTTTTCTTGCTTGTCTCGGGAATTGATCTTTTCTTGGTTTTTAAGAAAAACCAATTCTCACCAAAATTGTGAGAATTGGAATTTCATGTTACAGTAGCATTTTGTTTTTTTAATGACTTTGTGTGTGTGTGTGTGTGGGTGTTGATAATGGAAACAAATTTTAAGATTTATTGTAAAAAAATATTTCCTTTTAATTAACAATTTTCATGTAAAGCAAAGTTAAACGAACACCCAAAGATAGATGGTTTTCTTGAAAAAAATTTTGGTTGGTTTTGGCAATGGAAACAAATTTAATTTCCAATATCAATAAATTATATCCCTTTAATTGACAATTTTCATGTAAAACAAAACCAAATGGATATCAAAAAACACTTTAATTTAAACATTTTTCACGTGGAAAATTATTTCAATCAAACATAATAATTTGCAATTTCCAGAAAAATAATTTCTCATCAATTCAATTCCCTGGAATTCGTTTTCTTTCCACCCAAATTTCACCTTTGCAATCAAATAGACCCTAATTATTTTTTGTCTATAAAATATCAATAGTACAAAAGATGTGGCTTTAGAGCCGGAATTTTTCATCGCTAATAACTTGAATTTCGTAAGTAATAACTTTTAGCTACGGAACCAATCCATGAATAAATCGAACCATGAAAGTATGAGAAACTATTAAAAGCTTTAAAATACACCAATAAACAAACAAATACGAATTGCAAACATTTTCATTCCATGAATTTATCATCCAAAGTTACACAAAATTACATTAATTTCACCTTCATCTCAAACAACAATACTAACTCATATCAACCTCTTTGCAAAGTGCCACACGCTGCTTCTGCTTCGGACGGAGCCTAAACAAATTAACATGGAAAAATTACCATTAATGAGGAACTTTCTCATTTCTGAAGGCATAAAGTACTGAATGGATCTTTAGGGGGGAAAAAAATGAAAAAAAAAGCTAGTAAGTGTGTAACTAAAGCCAAATGACAAGAATGAGAAATGTGCTTAATCACCTCAATCATAGGTATTCCCACAAGTCTAAGAATTTTTTGGCAATCATCATTGTGTTCTTTGTCACCTGCATAACCAAATTGCGTCACATGATAAACAAATTGCCAAAACTATAAATGCCTAAATACACGACAGCGTAATAATGGCATTTTCAATTCTAGGAAAATCATTACCAAATTCTCAGCAATATGTGGACTCGTTGATTCCTGTAAAACATCTCACTTCTCAATCAACTCAACACGAAGGCCAGAAATATGAATAAGCGACCGATTGAAAATAACACCTTAGGGCATCCCCAATGATTGCATCATTGCACCATTTTTTGTTGTGAAGTTGCTCTAATGCAACACCAAACTTTGCACAATTTTGATGTAAAATGGTGCAAAGTGTAAAATGTCCCTTTTGCCCTTATTTAACATTTCCCAAATAAATTTGTTAAGGGTAATTATGTCATTTATGCTATATATTTTTCAATACAATAAATTATTATTATTTTTATTAATATTAATATTATTTGCATTTAAAATAAATTTTAAATGTAAGACATAATAATTAATAAATTAATTAAAAAACGAAAATAATTTAAAATATAACAAATACGATTATTTATTAAAATTACGAAATATATTAAATAACAATATACATACGATAATTTAATTTGATTTCATATTTTCGTTGTTGTAATGTTTTTATTAATTTTTCTGTGTTTTTATATTTATTAATGAATTTAATCTTTTTCATAATTTAACGTAATTATTTATTTAGTAATTTATGTATTTATAAAATAATTAAATAAATAATATCTCAAATAAATAAAATAAAGAATAAAAAATGGAAAGAAAATGATTAAACAATGTTCATTTGATGTAATGATTAGAAATGAATTTTAGTTTAATACAAGATTTGGTATAAATTTTGGTGCAGTATTGGAAATGGCCTTAAATAGATTCAAAATTGCATTTTGGGATTGAAAAAAATATTCAATAGCAAACTAAAATTGGGATAGCCGATAGCTTTCACAGAAATTTATGGTTTTTTTTTTTTTTTTTGGGACAAATACCTGAAAGAGCAGACTTATAAGCAATCATAGTACTTCAACGTGCATATGCAAAAGTGTGAACGATTTTAACCTTTTGGAGCGTATTATACAAAAAAATGTGTTTAGATCGTGAAGGGATCGTGACCTGTTGGAGTGCAAACAAGATCGTGAACTTCATTTGTGCTCAGATCTCTCCCTTGAATGAGATCTATGCACTATTTGATCTCGAAGAGCTACTGCTCTACTCTGGAAGCCGAAGCAGCATAGTCACGTTGGATGCATGAACTTGCAGCAACTTTTGATTTTACGGGAACGTCGGTTGACAGATAGATCTTCATCTTGAGGAAGGAACAAGAAGAGGAGAAAGTCGGTAAATGGGCTAGGTTTTCTTTCGTCCGTCATTTCTGGAGGATTAAAAAGAGACCAAAACGTTATCGTTTCTAGAGGATAAAAAATGAACAAGAAGAGGAGAAAGTCGGTAAATGGGCTAGTTTGTATAGATATGTTTGAGAAAGAAGGGAAAGTGAAATTTTTTAGTGTGAAATTTTAAAAGGGCGGGATAGTTTGAAATTAATGTATAAATGTTTTTTATTGTTTAATATTGATTAAATTATCATGATTCATAAATCTATATCAAAGTAGGCACCAAGCAAGATTGTTATCTTATCTTATTGACAACAAGGTGGATTCGGTGCCGTTCTCGACCCTTTCGTGTACCGTTCTGTCACAAATTTTTTTTCCATGCTTTCCCAATGTCACAGCTAAGTTCATAGCAAGATTTTTATGAGTACCTGCCTCGTTTATTTATTTTTTTATTGAAATGATATGGAGCACCCAAATACATAGTCATAGAAGGACACAGTCGATTTGATTTTTTTTTTTTTTAAATACTTTTGACAATGATTATTAAGCTTACAATTAATTAACTTTGTTTTAGAATTAAAACAATTAAAATAGTTTTTTTGCTGCATAATTGTTCTTGACTAGCCAATAGTATAGTTGTCAAATACCCAAAACTATTTTAGCGCCAAATTAGAGTTGTTAACCAAGTTGTCATAAACTTTCAACGACTAAAAATAATTGATCGTTGAATGTCACTTTTGACGACTACAAATAATCGACCGTTGAATATTTACTATATTATTTGTGTTTCTAACAACCTATTATATTGTCGTTGAATATGAATAGATATTTTGGTGGGAATTTTTGATTTGGTGCTCACTCACAACGACCAATTTTACTTTGGTGGTAGAAAATATAGAATTAACAGCTATTTTTTGGTCGTTGTAAGATATTTCCAACTAATTTAAAATTCGATTGTTCAACATCAATTTTCTACGACCAAATTTATAATTTAGTCGCTGAAATATTAGTTGTAAAAATATCATTTTTCTTGTAGTGACTGGACGAAATCGACCCATTCCAATCCAATTTTAGTTCGATCCAACGATTCTAATTATTTTTTACCACCCTCATTATCGTGATTACTTGACTGTCCCCTTTTCTCATTTCTTAATTCCCTCCACTACACAAATACTACTACTACTAATAAAACCATAAAGCAAATATGATTACAAGTCAAATTAATTATTTATTGAATTTTATCTTCAAAAATTACCCAATTTTTGGAAAAACAATTCTTGAATTAAGAATCCAACTATTGAAATCCTTTTCATCTTTCCTATGGGCTTGAAGTGCGTGGTCCAGTGGGAAATTTCAATATTCAAGAATCTATATAGTCCATATTAATCACAAACAAGTTAGTGCATCTTCTGTGCTTTAATGGATTGTTTCGAAATAATGTATTACATATGTAAAATAAACAATTTTTAAAACAAATTCCTCACCAATGTAATTTGACAGTGATTTTGCTAAGTAGACGACGCAAAGAGAAAGTAGATATTATCTAGAGTTATTTCTAGATCAAAAGTTCTCTCGTCCTTGTTTGGATTTCATTTTTGTAAACATACATTTCTTTTTTTCATTTTTAACTACAAATCCTCCAATAAAATAATATTACATGTAAACTCATAACCTTTTCTTATTTTTAAACCACACATTCTCCAAAAAAATCACTATTCCAACCTCCATTTTTCCACAAAATTTAATTCTAATGAAATCCAAACAGATGTACATGTATGTAAATTTATTCCATATGCAGATTTAGATTTGATAGCGTTTTTATTTTACAAAAATAGAAGATACTTAAAAACAGAATCTCTACACTTAGACGAGTTCTTTTAACAATATTTATTTGTTTTATTACCACGTCACTTATTTAATTTTAGAATCTCATTTGGTTGTATTGAAGAAAATTGTTTTTGAACAATGTCACTTAACTTTTATTGACGAGTCACATTATTTCTCAGTATCTATTTATGGTATTTTTTTGTCACAATGATCACAATATCATTTAACAACCGTCGAATATTGATTTACTTTCAAACAAAGCCCATTGCATCCTAAATTATTTGTGTCTTTTAAGAAAGAAAGTATTCTATTTTTGGCCGAAACATACACACACTACACATTCTTTTTGAGCTTATACACTACTGTGTAGGGCTGTGCATGTGTATCTGACCATTTCATTTAGTGGCTGGTACCTCGATCATATTCTTCCTTCGAGAATGAATAGGAAAATTAAGTAAAATAGATAATAAAAATTATGATTTTCCTCATTAAACTTATATGAAAACTGGGCGAGAGAATGCAATAAAATATTGGCCAATTTATATTATGATGCTTGCCACTTCTACGTTATTTGAACTCGTGTATACAATCGATTACCTTGTACTGGTCCAAAGAAAATAACAGTAGGAATTGTTCATAACATTACATGTATCAATTGCACATTTCCACCATGCTGCACTCAAGAGAAATTGAAAAACTCGCTTTAATTCCCTTTACTTTTCAGATCATAATGACTAGAGACTATGTCGAGGATCATGAAGATAGATGGGCAGTAACAAATAATGATGTTTTATTGGATAATGAATTGGATATGCTATCGTATGATTTTGAAGACCGCGATCTTATGATGCTAGAGTTTACTTTTGTGTGCACTGCGCTGTAATAAGGTGGATCACAATGTGATATTATGGATCTTAGGTTTGTCTGAAGTATATATTCACAACTACGTACTTTTTGTTAAAGACAGGAGAAGAAAACAGAAAGTATAGTTGCATTTTTTGTCCTTTTTAAGGATTGATGAGAAGTTAAGAAGTAATAGTTCCTCTTATATGAAGTGTTGTAGAAGTAGTGCGGGGAATTGTGTATCTTATGTGAATTGCTTAATAAAAGTAACGTGTTTGGTATGAAACTATGTTAAGCCCTTGTTTTGGTCCTCATTATTTTCAGAATGTATTTTTCTTTCTTTTATTTTCAATCTTAGATTCTTCAATAAGCAAATCCAAAATTTTTCATTATTTTTTCACAACACATTCTACATCACAATATTATTCTAAAATGCATTTTGGACAAAAGATGGAACTCAAATAGGTTCTAAGTTAAGCTTCTGCATGTGCAATATTTTTTTGTTATCAAGAATTTCTAGGGTATATTTTGATAAAAGGGGCACTAATCTTTATTTTCAGGTAGATTAACAGGTACGATGGGTATATAAACTCATAGAATTGAACTATATCGCTGCAGCACATTATGATTTTTCAAAAAGAAAAATGAAAATCGCTTCAAAGGGTGCTAGAAAGTGCCATACATGACTTCAATTCAGGTATAACTATAAGTCTATAATACAAGACTAGTATACAAAACCCGAGAGGATATTTCACGACAGTGCCATACATCATGGCTTATTCTCCATTATATATTGGAGAAATCCCTTTGATTTAATATGAAAACCATTTTTCTATTAGCACAATACTAACAATTTATGGATGCTTTTTGAACTCAAATCTGTAGGGCATAAATTCCTCTTGGTGCACTAAAATCTAGTGAAAGAAATTTCACGTTCGTGAGAAAAATGAGGGTTACAAAAGAGTGATAAAAGCAGAAAATCATTTAGCACCTGCATATTAACGGTATTAACAATGTAATAATATTTTCAAAAATTACATGCACGTCAGACTTTCAACAAAAATAAATTTAATGGCAAAGATACACATTGAAGATTCACTGACATTTTACACTTTTAAATTAAACACAATTAAGATATATCAACGTAAATCAACTATGCTCAATCACATGTACATATCTTTTAACGCGCAACAAATCAACAATTCCTCCGTCCAAAACCGTCCAAATCATTTGTGATTAAGATGGAAAGATTTGCAGGATATATCATTTTTGAAAAATAACAAAGTTGCCAAATTGCTTTTAATTACAGCATTTACAAAATCTGTCAAATCATGAAAGCATAACAAAACCTTGGCAGTCGGCACTACTTTTCAATGTTAACCGTTGCATAAAAAGCGTGGTTAGGCGATAATGACGACTTTTTCAAGTTTTTACTAGTTTAAGCAGGCAAAGTCATTACGAGTAAGATATGGGGTCCACCGCACATGTAAGTAGTACTTATGAATAACAATACTCACACTTACTGATCTGCACATTTTTAACCTACTTAAAAATCAAACGGTTTAAAAACTCTTTTGGAAAATCCATACAAAATTATACCCTTTTTTTTGGGCGTTCAGTTGGGTTTAAAACCACAGGTTGCAATTTGCATAGGGAAATAAAAATAACACTTTTCCAAACAAATTGAAAATCAATAATAAATCTTAATGGAAAGTCTAAATTATTACGTATTTTCTAAACATAAGCATTATAATACCAGCGTATTAAAGGCTAAAGCAATAAAATATTAGAAAGTTAAACCATAATTGTAACAATTTTCAAACCTATGGTACATCTTGGGTAAAAAAAAATGGTTTCAATGAAAGACAATTTATTTACTCTACAAGATTAATCAGATACCCCCTTTTTTTAAATTACTAATTGTTGTGGACTCATCACACTATTGGTTTCTTAACTTTCTTTAGCCATTTCATTCATCTCTCTATGAGGCTATCTTTAACGCTGCACCAAATTTTGCACCCAATTAAAATTCAATTCCAACCATTATACCAAAACTTACACGAAATGAACGGTGTTTAACAATTTTCTTCAATTTTTTATTCTTAATAATTTATTTATTTGAAATATTATTTATTTAATTATTTTATAAATACATACATTACTAAATAAATAATTACGTTAAATTATGGAAAAGATTAAATTCATTAATAAATATAAATAATATAATATAATTAGTAAAAAAAAATTATGCATTTTTTATGTATCATTGTCTTTAAATAAAATTAGATTATCATATGTATGTCGTCGTTTAATATATTCCGTGTCAACTTTAATAAATAATCGTGTTTGTTACATTTTAAATTTTTTTCATTTAATTAATTCATTAATTATTATTTCTTACATTTTAAATTTATTTTAAGTGTAAATAATAATACTTTATCGTATTAAAAAATATATAGCACAAATAACACAAATACCCCTAACAAATTTATTTGGGAAAGGATAAAAAAGGGCAAAAGTATAGTGTTGCATGCAAAGTACAGTATTGC